ACACGCTGGTGTCTCTTGTAATCCCTTAAAGAAAAGAAACTTTTCCCACATTTTTCACAACCATGCGGTTTCACTCCAGTATGGTTAAGCTGGTGTCTCTTGTAATGACTTAAGCGACTGAAAGCCTTTTCACACTGATCACACTGGTATGGTTTTTCACCCGTGTGGACACGCTGATGGTCCTTGTAACTACTTAACCGTGTGAAACTGTTTCCACATTGGTCACACTGGTATGGCTTCTCTCCAGTGTGGGAACGCTGATGGTCCTTGTAACTACTTAACCAAGTGAAACTCTCTCCACACTGGTCACACTGGAATGGTTTCTCTCCAGTGTGAACACGCAGGTGTCTCTTGTAATTATTTAAGCAACTGAAAGCCCTTTTGCAGTGATCACACTGGTGTGGCTTTTCTCCAGTGTGAACTCGTAGGTGTCTCTTGTAAATATACGAGTGAGTGAAACTCTTTCCACATTGGTCACATTGGTATGGTCCAGTACAGTTACACAGGTGTTTTTTGTATGAACTCTGGTTGCTGAAATGTCTCCCACATCGATTACAGCTGTATGGTGTTTCTTCACTGTGCGTGTGCAAGTGTAGCTTGTATGCATTTCGTTGGCTGAAACTGCTGCCACATTGTTCACATCGGTAGTTTCTCTGCTGTGAGAGTGAGTCCATGCCTTCTTTGACGACTAAACCGACTGAAAGATTTCCAATACTTCTGACAATGACACAGTCTGCGTCTGTTGGTTTCAACTGAGAAAAACATAAAACATAAAAATTCAGATCAGAGTGTAGGACTGCATAAAAATGCTGCTAGCCATTAAAGTGTAACTACACTCTTCAATTCTGCTAGCTCCTTCTCTCTCAGCAATTTTTAAAATATGCATCAGAGACCTCCTAAGGACTGTTAAGGGGTGTGTGGCCTCGACACCGACCAGAGTGACTGACAGACTGGCCACAGCATTATAGTAAGAACAGTGAGCCGGTAGAGCTATTGAGCAGCTACTGTCAAACTCTCCATGTCCGTGCTGGAAACACAGACAGTCTGCTGGAGCTTTGGAGCACACTGACATCCGTTTGTTAAAGTTTCTGTGTGGTACCTGTGTTGTGCTTGCGGGCGTTTTGTAGCTAAGGTAGAGGCTCAGAGAGGCTAGAGCGATGAAATCCTGATTGGACAATTGTGACGCCAAAGCCTCAGAGAGGCAGTATGTTTCTGTGTTTCAGAAAAAGGGACAGCCCTACAATACTGTCTGCAGCAAGAGGTGGTACTGGATAATGTTAGTATATATTTTATCTCACCTCTTCTGAAGAACTCATTTCAGCTCTTTATTGATCAAACAGAATGTCCTTCAAATCCTTCTCTTCTGGTCAGCACATTATAGCTCTGAAATAAAGACAGACTGGTCAGAGCAAGAACACCCACTGAAACAGTGATACTGTAGGTACCTGGGCAGAATTCAATACTGAATCATTACTGCTGACTGTGGATGCCCCAATCGCGTTTTTTTGTCTACGAGCCATATCGGCTGATACCAATCTTTTTAGCAGCTGGTATAGCTATAGCCACGTCAATAAGTCAGTTCAGTAAAGTCAGTTAGTTTGGCTGTTTTGTAGTGTAATGTTCTTGGGATCTCGAGGGTAAATGGATTATCCAGGTAACTTCAGGAGGAACTCTGTAATGTCAGGTGTATTAACTTGTACTACAAAAAGGTGGATAATTTTACCCACGTTATGCTGTCATGGAAATTTATGCCCCATCTGTAAACTGCTCCGAGCAGGTAATCTTTGTGGTTAGCTCGATGCTACTCTATAAAAACACCTCTCCCCCACCCACAATCTTGTCAAGAAAAATGCCTCACAGTGTTTCTGAACGTCTGAGCAAGAATACTGTATGCTGTGCAGCTGCAAGGTGGTACTTGCTCCCAACAGCTGGATGCAGTTGTTGTGTTCCCTGGCCATAGAAGTGTTTTAAAGATCCAAGAGGCTTTATATGTGATCGCAGGTATTTTTTTACAATAGAGGTTGGCTGATTTTCATGTTGATATTTAGGCAGCAAGGCAACTGATGGTCGATATATAATGGTAAGGTGATTGGTAATGTATATTTCCATTATTCCATGCACATGACAATCTAATATACTTACTTAGCCAGTAACATGTGGTTTTAGATGGAGTTTGTATAAAGTAGAAAAATGTATTGAGTTATGGTGTAGATTTCAGACTGATATTTAAGGGAGAGCGGGGTACAGTATATCAGAAGGGATGTGCATTATTCTATACATTATAACTTTATATATATTTAATACTAGCCAGTGACGGTTTTAGATTAGATTATCTGTCATTTAGTACTGGAGAAACGTTGTATGAATGTAAAACATCCGAGCTAACACAATGTAGAATGACAACATCCTCCAGGTCCTCGGACTATTAGAAGAAAAACGGAAAGAATAGTTTGAAGACAACTGAGTGAAACGACAAAGGTTAACCAACCCTCGTTTAGCTCCAACTAGTAACAGTCTCATAACTAACGCTTCCGCAGCAGCCTAGCTAACACATCCAGGCTAACAGAACACACAGTTATCAGCGAGATGCTGGAAGGAAACTGCAGCATACATTGCTACAGTTGTAAAGCTGATGTGCTATCATGAAGGACTAACTTAAGACACAGACTAAAAGAGAGCAGCAGGTACTGTTACCTGTGTACTTTGTGGCCGAGGTTCTGCTAGTGTTGTCCATCTCTCTAAAGACCGCTACATCCTGCACGACGAGGGTCACGTGACAGACGGATCCAGCTGATGGCTCTTTCCTCCTCTCTGTACTCGGCGGACTAGGCGCTGTAATGGCGTTTTGCTGCCCTCTAGTGATTAATATTAATGTTCCTGTTCACCGTTACTTATTAGTTAGGGATGTCTAATTCTGTGGAGATCATTTACCAGTTTCTCCATTGTAGTCCAGTTATCAGTTGAGTGTGCAGAATAGAAACAATTGAGCTGAGCTTTCACCACAAATAAAGTCATCAACCAATCACCTCAAGGCTCACACCTCAAGCCCAAACCGAAGCAGTTTTGGGCCCGAGCCCAACCCAAATTTCTGCTTAAGATAAATAAATGAAATGAAAAAAATAAATAAATAATACAAAATAGTTATTAAGTAAGCTACATTGTGCATACAAATTATGCACAACATACACAAAACAAATAAATCATCAATTACAGATGCATGTATTATTAATAAAATATTAAATATATATATATATTTAAGAATATAATTCTGTCTGAGCCTGACCCGGGATGTCTGTTTTCCCTCCAGTTTTGATTGTCTTCCCCACCCTAATGTTTATCAGCTTGTTATCCTTTCCCTCACCTGCATATTTCATCTTTGTGTTCCCTTGTTTTTGTGTCATATCATCTTGCTTTTGTCCCTGGCTGTTCCTCGTTTTGTCCCGATGTTTCCCTGTTGGTTTTTTCTTTTCCTGGACTTATACCTGCCTGCCTACCTGTACCTGTAAGGTCGATATACATTAAATCAAAGTCATCCTGCTTCCTGCTGCTGTCTTGCATTTGAATCCAATCGTGAGTTTCCTAAGTTATGACATATACTTACAATTACTCCTACCTAACTGGACAGCTTGCTCTCTCCACACTAAAGCAAGTGTTTCGAGTATATGCTGCAAATCTCTGTCTGTTAAAATTATGTAGGAATATGTCTTTGGAGTGGTCTGCACTAATCAAACAAGACTTTCATTCTAAATGACAACTTTACTGCTTAGTTGGACTTTTTATTTGCATCTTTTCTTAAAGCTTGATACTCCAAGCAAACCTCCTTTAACTACAGTAATAGTATCACACAGTAAGTGTAGGCAACAGTATGTTGAGATAAGAGGGTGTGAACTGTGTAGAATTAACCATAATCTAATTATCATAATATATATAATGCTTAATTATCAATGGGTTTTGCTCAGGGTTTATGTGAGTGAGGTCTCCTACCAAGCTACAACCCCTTCAACAGATCTTTATGTTCTGACTTAATGAGAAAAGTTTCATAATACATTTTTGCACTAAACAGTGTGTAATACAATGTCAGTGTGAAAAGAAGGTTGATTTGGAAGGCAGAAAATAAAGGCACAAGCTTGCCTCAGCTGCACACTCCCTCAGTACAAATGTGTTTACTGTTACATCTTTCTTTTACACACCACTGGAAATACTCTGATTCATTATTATATGATATTCATAGCTGAGTCTCAAACAAACTCAAACAGGATGTAGTGTCAAATCAGATTATTCAAACATATGTGACATTTCCTTACCTGAGTCACATTCACACAAAGGCTTAAATGAATGGGGAGTAATTATCTATTAATGATAACAGGAAGTATGCTGAATCAGAAGGCAGGCTATGAATGAGATGTTTGCTCCTTTAAATCTGAACATAGTTACAACTGTGGACCTCTTATATTCACAGAGTGTGTGAGACTTTGGTGTTAAAAAGGATTAAAGGACTATACCTATGAATATTATATTTGCCAACAGATTATCCAGTGTTGCACACTGGGCCTTTTAACTATTATTAATTTTGTACAATAAAAAAATAAAATAAACTCAAGTATTGATGTCAAATAATATTAAGTTTTTTAATATTGCATTTTTAATTATTTTTATTAACAATAAAATTTCATCCAAATGTAGTGTACATTTTAACAGAATCTCTCTAAAATGGCAAAAGTAAATGCTAATAATAATAATAATACACATTTTGATCCACTACTGTTGGGTGCATCAAGATAAACAGTTGTTGGTGCAAATTCTCCAGTTTGGTAACATTAAACCATTGCAAAAGAAATTGGCACAACAAGATGATGTGATGAAAAGAGCCGTTCAAATCTAGAACAATGCAAAACTCATGCATGTAGTGTAAGAAATGGATACTGCACTCAAAGGTGACATGATGAAGTCTCTCCATGGCCACAGAAGACATCATAGATTTACAGCTGTTTTCAGAACCTGAATAGCCTGTGAACTATGATGAATGATGTGATTCTATGTAAAATTGATGGAGTGTCCCTTTACCTGCAATAATTTCTACTTGAAAATGAAGACTGTGTTTCATGATTTATTGTATTGTATTACTTTATTATTTATTAACAGGGAAATTCCCTTGTCACAGCAGCATTTTACGTGAAATAAATAAAGACATATAAAAAAAAAACTATGGTAAAGTGGTAAAGCTATGGTATGGTGGTAATTTGATATAAACTACAACATTGATCAGGTGTCTAACAGCAATTATTCAACCAATTTCCAATTCTCCATGCAGTTGGATGGAGGTACTTTCTGCAGCTACTGTATCAACAGGTCCTTTGCCATAATAATAACATTAATGGCTTGTCTCCGCCACAAATAGGCTATTAGGTATTCAGCAATTATTCAAGACACCAGTAGGTGGCAAAAACTCACTATCTAAGTTCCAGGCTTTTTATTCAGCCCAGTCAGACAGGCTAAACATGCTGTTTGTCTCATTGTTTCTTTTCTTTGGCAGATAACCTTTAGTCTTCTTTTATTGGCATATTTAAGTCTAGACCCCATATTTACTATCCCGATGCTATCATTTGTAATCCTCTGTTCTGCTGTATGTAGAGACATTATATATGTTGCATTGCCATGTTAAACTGACCATATATGACAAATGTAAATGGATATTTTTTAGTATTTCATTTTACATTTTTGTGTCTTCATTGATTTCAGAAAGGTTTGAAGAGCTAAAAGAAGAAGCTAACTGATTTAACACTGCAGCATGAATGAAATAAAATTTCCCTTTTTAATGTGTTTTTGTACACATAAAACTATTACATGGTAGTTTAGTATAAGAAAACTGTGTTATGTTCACTGCTGTGGTTTGTCTGTGACGTCAAGACCATCATTGCTATGGGAACAGCTATAAGAATGCTTGTTACCCAATTCACATTGTTTTTTGTCCTCTATAATGTTGTCCATTCACTTGTGCATGCCTTGCTTTCATATTATCCCCCTTTCACCGTGCCCACTGTAAAACATCAGCACACACTTTTAAAAAGAGTTTTTATTAGTGAAATCCTGAAGACAGTTGTTGGCCAGATTCCTTTTCTCCACTTCAAAAACACTCATTATTTACCCTTCACACAAACCAACTTTACCATCTACCTCTCTTCTCTGCAGTTATTTTGAATTTGCTGGCTAACATAGAACTGTGTATTAATCATTGTTTGATAAAGAAATATTTAAACTAAAATTAAATCCAAAACATACGATATGATCAAAACAGTTAGGTTTATTTGGCACTTCATTAAATTTATAAAGGGACATTGCTATGTTAGGAATGCATACATAAAGGACAAAGCAGTTACATATGCTGTTGATATTCAGTATATTGTGTCGCATTGTATGTAAAGTTAGGTTTCCAGGGGCAATGGCTCAACCAGGAGGTATCCTGGACTGTTTGCGGGGAAGGATCCGGAATCAGGCTGTTTGCTCTGTAAGGCCTGTTGTCTTTCCAGTAAAAACATTCCCGCACTGAGGGCAAGCAGAGCACGCTGAGGGCCAGCAGTTTACCACAAGCAGGGCGGATACGGAGCATCCTGCATCCTGGATGCTCGCTGCTGTTAAACCTCAGCCATGGAGACCCAACAGGGGATTACAGGAGCTCCCAGGGCCCCTTCTGCCCCACACCACCTCCCTTTTCCCCTGCCAGGTTACATGTGTGGTTTGATGTGGTGTGGTACATTAACTTTGACATTAGGATGCATTTTGCATGTGATTTGGGTTAAAAAGCTATCTTTTTCTTCATTTGATGTGGAAGGAAAGATTGGAAAGAGAGAGGGAATTAGTCAGAAATGCATGACAAAAGGCTGCAATTTGGAATAGTTAGTGCAATGGGTCTGCAGCTGAATAATCTAACATTTAGGATTTTAAGTTATATATACGACCAGCTAGGAAAAGTATAAAAAGTTCACACAAAATCAACTTTTCCCTTTTTAAAATGTTCTTCTTCTTTATTGTTTTTTACATGGATTTTTTTTTTCAAAATTTAAATATTGCAAAGAATTGTCAGAAGATTGTAACATTATTAGACATTACTGAGAATAAATCTAATTACATGTACTATATGTACCATAGTAATTGCTATTAATCTGTGTTCCGTATTGTGCAATTTACTTAAAAGGAGTAAAAATTATATTTGTGCTAAAATACTTTTTAAGAAACCCCAAAAACACCTCTAGACTCCTGCATAAGTGCCATTGTAAAAGAATGGCTTGTCTGTCACACAGTGACCTATGACTTCAGGCGTCCATTTCTGGACCTTGAGCTTGCCGTCCTTGCCTGGCCGGACAATGACGGTACTTTTGGATGCCACCGAAGGGTCTTCGTCAAAGAAGTTGAAGGGTCGGAGGAAGAAGCCCACTGCGTTGCCGGGTGTTGCCGTGTTGGGGATGTCTTCTGAGTGAGGCACATGCAGGAAGCCAACTGTCACCCAGGCTACCAGGTCCTGGACACAGGAGAGTAAACATTACATTAGAATTTTTAGAGTAGGACACATAACAGGTGGTTTTTATCTATTTGAAAGTGCAAACACGAAAATGTCAGCATTCGTGAGTTACCATGATGATGAGTGACCAGGACTGATGAACACATTCTCTTAGAAAGAGCAAACTTAAACCACTGACGTAACCTCTCAGAAAAACACAATCACCTCTGAAATGTAAACCACATCAAAAAAGATGCTGACCATTAGTGAATTGTGACTCTTTGCACTAGTAAAATATAAGAATATGCAAGTAATTTTGCGTTATATTAGCTATATTAAAAATAACTTACTTACCAAATCTCCCAAAAAATTTACAAAGATAGAATTGTTACCGTGGTTGCAGTAAAAGAAGTAGTAATCAGATATTTTCCTTTAGTAAAAGTTGCAACACCACAGTGTAAAAATACTCTAATCTAAGCATTAGCATCAAAATATACTTAAAGTACCAATCATTATGCAGAAGGGCCCATTTCAGAATAATATATATATTATATTACTGAATTATAATTAGTGATGCATTAATGTGGAGGTTACTTCGAATGGCTTAATCTATAAAATCATTTATTAGGTGATTGATTTATATTTTGCATCAATAATCAGAATTTGCAAAGTAACTAATTATTCTAATAAAATAAAATATTGACTTCCAAAATGTAGTAAAGTAAAGGTATGAAGTAGCAAAAATATCTTGTATCCACAAGATTTACTAAAGTACAGTGCTTGAGTAAATGTGAAGAATGAAAAAGAATATTGATCTTAATTATTCTGTCTTCAGTTTCATATGCATTGTGGACAAAACTCCTGTCCCTTGACTTTTATCCTATAAGCCTATTGTGGACATGGCATTAACAGACAATGTGGATGTGTCTAAACTGATGTTCACCGCTGTACCTGGTTGACTATGTCTTCGTTGTTGCGGATGTAGTCCTCAAAGGACACGACAGGTTCCCAGGGGTCATTCTGGGTGTAAATGCTGCTGCTGGTGGCTTCACTATCTTTATGACGAGTCACAGCAAGAGGATATCTGTGAAGAGACAGATCACCACTCAATCAGTTTTTAATTTCCTCTGTAACTCTGACATTTGACTGGAAAATGACCCATACAGAGAAACAGCACTTTTCAGTCTGCCACTTAGTCTTTTTTGCCATTTAGTATCTAACCAAACTCCCAATCAAGACATTAACCTCTTCAACCCCACTGATCCTCCGTTAGGTCAGTCATTGCAAACTATGTTATCACTGCAATTATGTATGTAAACTTTGCTCAAATACACAGAACTGAAATTCCACTGGAGATCCCAATGTTGCAGATATGACTAAATTTGGGTTGAATGATTGACAAGACATCTGGAAGGGAGGCACCTATAAATCAAGAACATTTTGGCAAGTTATACTGCTTCATATATTTTTCTTAGCAACACAAGTGAATTTTTTTTATTACCTTGACCAACTGATACCATTTTCCTCTCTCCAGCCTTTTGGAAGGACACTGTGGGCATGTGAGTTAAACTGAATACGGTAACTCTTCTGGTGCCCCCATTTATTTCTCTCACTGGGGTTGTTAAAGTGCACATAGCGGGGGAACTTTTTGCCAAAGCGGAAAGCGGCAGATCGCTCTGTCTTGTGCTCCATCCTGTGGAGTTTGGACTGGACGATGAAATTGTCTGGGCTCCAGGGATTTGTGAAGTTGACGAATTTCAAATCCATTGTCTCAAAGCTGTTCTCTCGACCTGTGTCACAGTGAAGGCAAAGAGTTGTCAGAAGAAGTTAGTTGTTGGGGTATAAGCAGTCTTCTGTGACACTATACATTTATTTAATCAAAAGTCTCTATAGCTGATTGTTTCAGCAAAGTTAGGTTGAATGCACATTAAGAGTACTACAAGCGACAGGTTTTACAAGATTTACAAGTTATTGACTTGGCACATACCCTTGATCACAGATAGCCTTGATCACACATTTCAACAGAACAGTTCCACAGAGTTGGTAGGCCAAGACTGTCTCTTTTACGACAGGGTAAAGTCCAGAAAGCTATTTTATCTGGACTGGCATCAATAAAGGACTTAGGAGCTAAGTTTCTGTGTGAGTTTAAAGAATTGCCTTGTTGATGAAAGTAGCTGTACAAATATATTTGCTTTGCCTTTAAAATACACACGCAGATATTAAAAATGGTATAAAGGGGGAATATCATTGTCTTCTCATGTTAATATCTTGTCAAACATTATGTTTAATTTGTTTTTTTTATGACCAGTAGCAACATTTAATAAATTCTAACAGTCTACGATAACTCTGCATGGCAACTACAGTATGGATAAAGATCATGGTTATGGCAGATAAATTATGGTTAAGATGGGGCTAAGCAACAAAACCCCAGAAGCCAAAGTTAATTGTAGGGCTGAACCGAGAGAGAGTCTGACCCATTATACCTTTACTTTCCATGTTGACACATAAAGGGCATAAATTGTAAATTGCATCCAATATGGCCATTGTTTATAATATACTGGGCTGGGCTTTACACTGATGTTGAATATTTTTTTCTTTTGTCAATGGTCAATAAAAAGTTATTGCTTTAAAATGGAGAAACTACATCATTTTACCACCATACTCACCAGCAATATCCAGGTCCACTTTATAATGGATAAGGTGTGTGTGTAGGTTACCCAACACATAGTTGTACACCTTGGTACCATAGTGAAGTCCGTTAGGTGTAAAGAAAGTGGCGTGGATGTATCCCGTGGCGCTGACCTTTACCTCAACCACCCCATTCTGGTAGAAAAGAAAGTCCCATATGTAATCATAGTTGTAAACTGTTGAGGTTGTCCGCAACACCAGCACAGTGCTTTCCAGCCCTCCATAGAAGTTGTATCCCCCCTGGAAGTTAGAGTTGAAATGCCTTCTTAGAGGCATAGCAGTGGTCATCTCAAAAATACAGAGTGCGTTTTTGTGGTGCACAGGTTTGTCTGTGTCAAAGTAGTGGTAAAGGTCAACAAAGGTGGCAATTTCTGGACAGTCAATACCAGGTGCCAGCTCGTAGGTTGAGGTGCCCATTGCCCAGCCAGCATCAATGTACTTTGTTTGCATGGCAGCAGGAGTATCACCTGCATAGAAGGCAATAGCTTCTTGCAGGCTTATCTCATAGGCAATCCTTTCTCCATTAAAACGGAGGTCAAAGACTTGAAGTCCAGCCGATGAGCGGACTCGGTAGGCGAAAGACCATCCAGCATATTCAACAAAATTGCGGTCAACTTGATAGCGGGGCCCCTGGGGCTCCACAAGCTTTGGGCCATGGATATTAGTGGGAGTGTTGCGCTGACCCCGGGGGATGTAGGTAGAGTAGAGGTCATTGTCGTCATGATCGGGCAGTTTGATCTTCTCCACACCTCCTGATTCATATTTTTCTACCAGTTCCTCAACGCTGTCAAAGTACATGCTGTTGTACCAGACCTTCTCGACATTCCAGTTTTCTGGATCCAGGTCCTGGTGGTTGATCAATATCTCAAACCCAACAGGGTGGATGAAATAACCCTCCACAAATTTCTGCAACATGATCCAGGTTCTTCTCTCACCTGGACCCAACCCACGGGGGGCTATGTCTGAGAAAGTTAGGCAGCGGTCAGAGCAGTTAGTGAAGGAAAACCCTCCTGTGGTCTCAAACAGAAGCTTGTGAACTTTAGTTGTGATCTTTGCGAGGATATCAGTAATATGCTTATACTCTGCAGCAGTAATAGGCCTTGACTCAAACAGGATAGGCTTATTCCCCTTAAACATCTTGACTTCGTGGGTGTCTGGGGATGGCAGAGGACTAACAATGTACTCAGTGATGTTGGGCTTCATCTGGTTCCCAAACTGGACGATCACACGGGCTTGACGTTCGGGTTTGGCCTGTCCACGGTCCAGAGCTCTCAGGGCTTCATGCTTCCTTGGTAGATGGAGTTCCATCAGTAGTATGCTGTTCTTCTTCAGAGTCTTGCTACGAGCATCAGTGAGCTCTAGCTCTGGAATGCCATGCAGGTAGGCCCGCACAGCTTTCATCTCACGTACTGTGAGGTCAGCAAACATGGGGGCACCATGATGAGCCCAGTCTCTTGATCTAGAAGCACTACAACCAGCCAAGCAGACCAGCAGCAGTACACAGAGGAGCCTCATGGCTGTAATATAACAAGAAAAGAATATCCAGCATTCATTTAGTGAATGGAAGAGAAAAACTGGATATGTTGAGGGAATTCATTTAGTAATTTTTCATTCTTGAAAAAAGTTTCAGAAAAAAAGTTTTTTTAATCCAAACTATTATTGCCTGTATTTTAGATATAACCTCTTATAAAGTCTAGACTTATCTTGGATCACCTTTCTTCCTCTTCTTCTATTCCCAGCTGGATAAGCATGTCTCCCTCCTTCCCTTTACTCTATTTGCTTTTATTATTTCAGTCTCTCCTCTACTTCTCCACAGGAACACAAACAGTGTGTATCAGCCTCCGGTATAACACACTCGCAGTCAACAGTCCCTCTCTATGCTCTCTATCTTCCTGCATTGCATGTACTACACACGTATGAGATAAACTGTACTCTCAATTTTAATATTCAATAAGTTGTCAATGCAATTTGTCACATTCTTCACAATTTTACATTAATATTACATATTACATAAATGTTATTATTACATAATAACATTTATGTAATAATGTTGTGATACATGATGTACTGACTTTGGAGTCGGTCCATTCTGCCTTGAGAAACACTTGCTGCTCTGTATCAGAAACAAAGAAATAGACCAGGCTACTGTACCTGTAGTTGTCCTCCTGCTTCAAGCACTTTGCAGAACAAGTATGATCTGTCCAGTCCTCCTGCTTCAGCAATTGCAAAAATTTCTCTTATTGAACAAAGATCCATGGACTGCTCCTTATGTTTAACCTCCTACTTTGCAGTGACGAAGGCTGATTGGCCAACAGTGGGTTGTAAATATGATGAAATAACAGGTGCTGTTTTTAGATAATCCTGCAGAAGGCAAGGCAAATTTATTTGTTTAGCACTTTCCAACAACAAGACAATTTAAAGTGTTTCACAAAAGACACAAAACGTTTTAAGAAAAGCTATTTAAAAAGACACGACTATTGTTCAAAGAGATTATATATAGCATATGATAAAAATGACAGTATAGTTGCAGTGCAGTGCCACTTTTGATTCAATGAAAGACAGTGGTAGACAAAAGATTTAAGCCTTGATATGAAATGGATCCAAGAGTTGGAGCAGACCTCAGATTGTCAGGGTGTTCAGATATGTGGTGCATAAGCATAACCATTCAGTGCTTTATAAACTAAAGAGTAGTATTCTAAATCCATTTTCTTCTTGGACTCTAGCAGCAGTGTTGTGAACCAGCTGCAGCTGTCTGAACCTTATAGAGACACCTGTATTTACACCATTACAGTATTTGAGTCTGCTGAAGATAAAAGCATGGGCAGATTTTTCTAAATCCTGCAGGTCTTTTAATTCTAGATATATTGTACGCTTAATGTGCAGATTATTTAGGTCTAACTCAACAACTGCAACACTAACTGAAAATCTAATAATAGCAAGGTTGTGATGGGAAACATTTGGGGAAAATGCTTTCACTATTGGAACAGCTCAGCTCTCTCAGACTGTACTTGACCTGGATCCAGAAAACTGGACTGGTCAAGAAGGTCTGGAGAAGATCAAGATCAGCACAACACTCCCACTTTGACTGGTGTTTTATAACACACAATACATTTATTGGTACAAGGAGGAACTTTGCCCTTACATGTGCTCTAAGTGATCACACACGTACACATGAGGTCCTAGTGAAAACTACAAGTTAACTATTAAAGAACTGAGATGACATTTAAAATATGTTTTACCAACTACTTCTTTAAGCCCCAGTTTTTATTAAAGTAAATATATGATATAATTTTACTTTGCTATCAAACTATTTCTTTTTTATTTCTGAGTTTTATTTGTGTATACTGTGTTATGACGTCTTGGTCATATCACTTAAAGTGAGTTTTTTTTGTCTCCCTCATGCAAATCAATAGCATATCATTTTTATATAGTATGTAAGGCCTTTTTGGCATCTATAGTGATTTTCATCTAGAAAAAGTGCTTGTTGAATATTACTGCTACTTTTATTATCTTACTCTCACACCGTTTCACACAGCTGGTTAAGTAGCTTGACACAGAATGAATAAAACTGCCTCAGGGCTGTAATACTCCTGCATTTCACCCTCTAACTATAACATGCTATTGCTGCTGTTTTATTGATTATGTTTATCAATACACAGAAATCAGTTTGGATTTAGATTATTCCTGTTTCTATAGCTCGCTGTCAGTCATATGTGATACATTAGGTCTTGCTGCCAGGGCTGTAGCCAGGGTTTTATAAATACAGAGGTCCAAGCCCAAAGTCAACAATATGTAGTTTAAAAAATAATAATAATATTTGAAATACAATCTTTTGCCGATTAAACCTTCAATTACTTTCACTTCAACTTCAACTTTATATTCCATCATTTTGCATATTTTGCACCAGGCTTCAGGTACTGTAGGCTATCATATGGAAGTAAGTTCTTGTGCTGATTAATTTATCCCCTCATCTCAATCTTAATGAAGAGAGCAAACTTCCATAAACATTTTGTTGGAAAAGGACTTAAGTTTGTTTTTAGCCATGGCACAATGTCTGTCTGTCTGTCTGTTGGCTGTCGGCCTACTACTTTGTTCCAGTCTTAAACATTTCAACAACTATTGGGTGGATTGTATGAAACTTCATAATGTCCCCAGAGGACTAATCTCACTGACTTTGGTAATCCCCTAACTTTTTATCTAATGATAAAAGTGGAGCAAGGTTTTTTTTGTAAAATTTCTCAGAATGTAGTAGTTTGGGACACATTTTACAGGCATTTGTGGCCCCCAAAAGATAAATCCTACTGCCTTTGGCAATCCTCTGATTTCTCCATTTTGGTTTTAAGTGAAATGTCTACGACTATCTTCAAAGGATTACCATTACATTTTGTGCACACACTCATCCACTTCACAGGATAAATTGTGAAAACTTTGGTGATCCCCTAGTACCATCATCAGGTCAAAATACCCTTAGAAGTAATGATTCCCATCAGCTTCACTACTTAGTGTTTAGTGCTTAGCAAACAACAACAAATGATAGCATGCTAACATGCTAAATTAAGATGGCGAACATGGAAGACATTATACCTGCTAAACATTAGCATCGTCATTGTGGGAATTTTAGCATGCTGACTTTAGCATTAGCACAAAGCACCACTGTGCCAAAGTATGGCCTTACAGATCCGCTAACATGGCTGTAGAACCTAAATCTTGTTTCAAAGGCTTGGTTCACATTCCAAGCCTTAGCGCTCAATTCTACTGTGGATTTCTGATTCTTTTTTCAGATTTTTTTGTTTGTTTGGCTGTAAATATGGCCCATATCACATTCAACTGTAAACAAATGTCAATCTAGAGTTACATAAAAGTCACATAAATTCTGGTATGACTGTTCACACTGAGGTCAGATTGCAAAAAATCAGACCTGAATCTGACTTGGACCACATATGAGAATTGAAAAGATCAGATTCCTTGTTGTTGTGCTATTTACACTGTCGTGAAAAAAACAGATCCGGGTCATGAGCAAAAAAACTGATTTGGGCCACTTGTACCTGTAGTGTGAACACTACCTTAGTTGTCTTAATGTAAGGCTGCCATGCCAGAAAAATAAAAATGGATCAGTATCACATGAAATGTTTGTTATAACATGATGTTTTTCACGTTAACATGATGTTTTCCCATTAATACAACTTATAAATGTATCACTTCATAAAATAAGCTTTTCTTTGTTTTTTAGTTATATACTATTTATATTGTAATAACGTGAAATGTTTCATCTTAGGTCGTGATAATTTACAGGTTATAACATAAAACATTTCACTTGTTGTATGTTGTTATAATTTGTTTTTATTTAAAAAAAAAATTATTATCAACCTAATACCATTTAAGTAAAGGCTAATAGAACCTCCACCTCTAAACTCCCTCTCTTTCTCTATCCATACACCTCTCACCCTTCTTCTCACAAACGATGATGAAGCAGTAAACTAACAAAGTGACTCATTGCTGGGGGATACATGGAGAAAAAGTAAAGAAGTCAATTGTATGACACTGTTTTGGACATCAGTAGCTCCTTCCTCTCCTCTGGGCTCAACGGTGTACTGTGGTGACAGCTGTGTTTGAGCTCAGGGGTCAGGAGGTCAGACTTGGGATATTGGTGAGTCTAAAAGCCTTCAGTCCCCATGTCTGTTGACACGCTTCATTGAATAAATTCCCCCATCATCCTTCCCGAAACACCTCTCTTTACAGGATTAGGCTCTAACAAATATCTCTTTATTCTGTGGCTGAGGATGTACCACCCCCGCCATCATCTACTGCGTCCTGTAATGTTTGACGGGATGAGGTCTGAGGACGTGTCCGTCACAAGTCCGGAGACCAATGCCTGCTCTCCCAGCTGGGACCTTACCACTTATATCCAATGGCAGCAGGTTTAGATGCTACAGTACATCCCATGAGTCACCGCCCGCATTTAAAACCCTGCGCCTGGGGCTCTGATCCCTCAAAAAGACAAAGTATTACTTCACTGAGGACTGTATCATAAACTGTTGGACGGGACAAAAAAGAAAAATAGTGACAAAAAGCAGACAGTGAACCCACAAAAATGTATAAATATTGAATAATGAGCCAAGGACTTTTTAAGATTTCCCAAAAGCACTTCAAAGGTAAGTGCACCTTTTGTAAATTGTAGTAGGAGGATAGAAGTAGTCAACATTTGTAATAATGTAATTTAATAATTTCAAGGAATTTTATATTTATTGGTTTTATCAGTTTGTATGGATTGGTTAAATACTAACAATGATGACAATCCTTTGATTGGTTAACATCATTAAGATGTCCTTTATCAACAGTCCTGATTTTTAAAGTTACTTTTGACTTTTGAGTCATCCTGGCAACCATAAGGATTTTAAATTGATATTATGATGTTTCATTAGAAATTCTATCTTTAAAAAAAACTTGCATACAAACTTTTTTTTACAGGAATTGTAAGCATAAATGTTCAGTAGAGGACTATGGAGACACTACTACTGATTCTGTTTGGACTGCAGACAGTGATGGGAATGGGGTGAGTGTGATTCACACCGGTCAAAGCAGGATTAAGCTAATGTATATCGACGAGGGAGGTGTGAAAGAGTGCTAAGAGAGATAAAATGTGATAACAGTCATGAGCAAGATTCACCCGTTTGAGTAAATACTGTGCAGATCACTGTATAAACCACTGAAACAGCACAATAACACTCGTTAGAGCTGTAGTTAATTCATATGGAAATAATACTTTTCCAAGCACAAGTCTTTTATTTCACTTACCCACTGACCAACTTGTTTAATTTGAAATACACTTTATATATTTAAAGTCCAAAACTCACATTAGAATTTGTACTAAAGGTAATGCCATAACATAACATGAATAATGATATTTTAATACTAACTCCAATTTGTTTCTTAATTTATAATTTATAATTCCTAATTGCAGCCTCATTTAAGTATACTGTGTAACTGTTCGCCATTGCATATACATTGCTTTCTACAGAGTAGAGAGTAGAAGTTGGTTCTTTCCCTTTGAATTCAGGACGTTGAACTAAACTTTGTGCAAGTACCTTTGTGCGAAACTTGAACATGAAGTATTAGAGAAGAAATTAAATCTGTGTATTGTGCTCTAGGCACTGGTGTGAACACGCGGTGGAGGAGAAAGTGGAGCGAGTCCTGTCCCCACGTTTGCAGCTTGAAGTGAGCTGTTCTGAGGTGTATCAGTATAACACCCAGGGCTGGTGGCTAGATGTGGACAGGATGCGCATCAAACATGGGGGTGATGATGGCATCGCACTATACTACAAACAACAAGGTCCCAAGGCATCCTGTTTCTTGTACAAGTAAGTGAACGTTCAGTAATTGTCAGTGTCTTGACCTGTCTCTAAGGTTTGAAGAACCCAGCTCACAAGATTGTTACTCAAATCAAATTGTTCTGAAAGCATTCTGCTTTAAATATGAGGTTGAATTGTGTTCAAACCAGAGGAAAAATCAACAAATAGAAGTGAGACCCATTTCCTTTTTGAGAAGTAAGTTCAACAAGTACTGTAACATCCTCTATACCCCTTTTACCCCTTTTCCACCAAGGTGAACCTAGTGCTAGTTCTGGGCTGAAGCTAGTGCCGGTTCAGAGTTGATTCAACCTGAGAGCCTTCTAACCAGTTTGCTTTTCCATGGGCTCGTTAGCCACCATAGAGCCATGTAATTAGGTCACGGTATACATTTCAAACGTTAGCTACAGGCCTATAAGCAACCTGCATGGGATCAAATGCATGCTCAGTTTTCCTTAAGATTTTTGACCTTATGTGCTCATGCGCCCAATAGTTCACCAATTCATATCATCATGAATACAAGCATTATTGTAAATATATTGACTTTTGAGCTGACGTGTCTGTCCATCGCAGACCCCCCGAGATGGAGAGCGAGAGGGTAAACAAGACAGTGAGGGCATGCTGTGAGGGCTGGGCCGGACCACGCTGCTCAGAGGGTGAGGACAAGAGACCAGCAGATCAGTACCGTGTGCAGTATGCAGTTTTACATTACCCGGATTAAGGGTGTAAGGACAGAGGGTGTTGTCGGTGTCCAGATTTTTGGTTCTGGGCTGTATAAAATAAAATGACATGACTTGCATTGTGATTAATTAACATTATCACAAATTAGTAAAAAACTCTTAACTTATACATAATATATTTAACTTAAATATAGTATAGTGTGTGACCTATTTAAACTCAGAAAGCGAACTGACTTTAGCTGCACAGCAAAGTGATATTATTGTTATTTAATTTCTTTATTTTTACTGTTTTAATATTTATGTTGTGTAATAAAACACAAGGGAACACAATAAAGTTGGCCAGTAGCAAGCCCAAAGCTCAGGCTTATTTTTATTTTATTGCTTATGAGAAAGGATTATAAATGACTATAACTACTTTAAATTAACCATACTAGATTAGAAAACAGAAAACAACAATGATTTTTCACTGGTACAACCTTTTCCAACAGATATTCTCACTATTACTCATTTATTTTAAAAATCTGAAGACAGTGACTATAGCAGGATAAATTTTTTTTGGAGTTCTCTCATTTTTTTTCCTTCCGCTTTCCTCTCTATTTACACCCAGGTGTGGGCGTGCGTGGCCAGTGTTACTCTACGTGGAGCTGTGAGGAGTTCCCCGGAGTTCATAACTCCTCCTTGATGCAGATGGAGCAGTGCTGCAGCAGCCTGTGGGGGCTGAGCTGGAGGAATGCCTCTGACCAGACCTGCTTGTCTTGCACCTACACTCTGCTTCCTGGTCAGAAGACATGCATGCTGTTTTGGATGCTGCTCAAGCATAAATTTGTGACCTGAAATTAATTTATTTTTCCTCAAAATCTGTTTAAATCTCTCTTTTGATCATCTTTTTTGTTTGCACTGAAGGGTCTGCAGCTGCTCACTGTATCTCCTCTATCTCCTCTCCAGACTCCCAGTCCTCTCCTCTGGTGCGCGGTGGTCTTCTGGGTAGCGTCAGGGTGCCTCAGAGCTCAGCCACCTGCATGTCCTGGGGTGGAGCCCACTACCGCACTTTTGACAGGAAGCACTTCCATTTCCAGGGCAGCTGCACCTACCTGCTGGCCTCATCTACTGACGGCACCTGGGCAGTCTACATCAGCACAGTCTGTGACGGGAGAGGAGACTGCAGTAAGGTGTGTAATATGGCAGATATAACGGCTGATAGAGTTTATGAAGCAGTTTTTTTAGTGGCATAGTCTTATACTAGACTTTTCCTATCATTGTCCATAATGTAGCAGTTTGTTAGATAATCAGTGGTGGAAATGTCTACTTATAACTTGATCTGTATGTGCCTGTGGTCCTCTGCTTTCAGGCTCTGAGGATGATGCTGGGTCTAGATTTGGTTTCAGTTCATCACAGGAACTTAACGCTGAATAACCGCCCTGTTCCAAACGGAGAACCACTCTTCCAAAACGGTAAGCTATTTTAAGCTGTCAGTAAAGCTCTCTCCTAATGTCCATTACCAGCCTTATATTGTTGACCTGGCAATATGAGACTAGGTAACAATAAGAGAAAAAAAACTTTTGTTTTTGTTACATCATGATACCTGCACTAACTAAAAGAGGTGTGCTTAAATTAGAATATATATACATACATTAAACAACATTTTAGTTCTAATAAATTGATATTTCAATTCAACTGACCAGTTCTGTAATACTCAATAGAACTAAGTCTCTGCCATCACAACAACAGATCTACTATAATCTCTTTTTGTTTCCATTTATTTTTGTGATCCAGTCTGGAGATTAGTTTGACAGATCAGCCTTACATACATCTGTAAAAGGCTACTTTCGTCGGTCATTTTAACATAAATATACAAGCACTGACAAAGCGCCCTTGTTTGCCCCTCCAGTCTTTAAAGTTCCCCCTTCTCCATTTCCCCCACCCTGCATGGCACATGGGTAAGAAAACATAAAGGAAAAGAAAACCCAACAAGACTGAAAAATAGAAGAAAATAAATGTAAAACAAACAAACAAACAAACAAATACATGAGTTAAAGAGAGGAACATATATATATATATATAT